TTAAAACAAAAACGTTAATAATGATATATAATCGTGAGAGGCTTTTAAAAAAAAATCACAATTATAAGAATATATGTTTTTATTCTTTTGTTAATTTGTCTTAATTTTCAATAGAAACAATAAAACCACAATATTGTTCTAGTAGTGGTCTAAATGTGGCGGAGCGTCAGATAAGGAACCAAAAGGCGGATAGCACTCTCGCCTCTCAGCAAGAAGGTCCTGGATTCGAATCCTGGTTGGACCAGGGCCTTTCTGAGTAGAGTTTGCATGTTCTCCCTGTGTCTGCGTAGGTTTCCTCCGGGTGCTCCGGTTTCCCCATCCATCCATCCATCCATTTTCTTCCGCTTTATCCGTTGCCAGGTCGCGGGGGCAGCAGTCTAAGCAGAGACGCCCAGACTTCCCTATCCATACACACTTCCTCCAGCTCGTCCGGGGGGACCCCAAGGCGTTCCCAGGCCAGCTGAGAGACATAGTCCCTCCAGCGTGTCCTAGGTCTTCCCCGGGGCCTCCTCCCAGTGGGACGTGCCCGAGGTGTCCGGTTTCCCCTACCACTAAAAATATGTACAATAGGTCTGGCATGTGCCTCCTGTTCAGGCACCCCCACTCCCAAAAAATAACAATTGTAAACCGCTTTGAGACTCCGATGTGAAAAGGCAGTATATAAATAAAGATTACATACAGATTACATACAAAAGCCTTCATTATTTACTGAATTGTATGGTATTGTTTAGAAATAAATATCAAACTGTATTAGGTACATTGAGATTTGTATCTTATCTGCCCCATACCCAGCCTGTCTCCAAATATGTATGGACCTTACTGTACACATTCAATTCTAATCCATTTGTTTTTGCTGAATTTCACACGAGGACTTAACTTGAGAAGTGTTATGATAAAAAAAGTTGGTGTTTTTGCTGAGCCCCATGCCGCCCGCCACCCCTGATGTTACAAATCTACTGTTATTCCTCTTGCTCAGGTGAGTCCAGAATGCTCTGTCGGCTCCAATCTCTTCCACCTCGGTCTCACGCTGTTCCTGAAATGATCCGACGGCGAGAGGCTTTCCCCACTTTTCCCCCGTGTTGTTTTATTCATCCGGCGCTGGGTTCATTTGCCAAGTCCGCGGTTGTAGATTTAAGAAGACAAACGAAGCCGCAAATCCGGTTGAACGGCGCGGCAGGACGATAAGTGACATTTCGCTCAGTCGCCTGGTTAATCGCAGAGAAAAGGAGGGAGGGATTTCCGTGTCTTTAGGCAGATTTGGTGCTTGGGAATGTTGCGGAGAGGCTTTGAAGTGCTTGTTGTCTCCCCAAAGAGCCCCAGAGGAAATGTTTTGCACTAAACCACGAGGTACATTCAAGCGAACATGATGTAATACAGTTGGATTGGGGCTGGGCTGGTGTTGAATCCAAACAGTTGATAGATGTCAAGGAAGTAAAAGAGAAATATCAAATGTAACCAAACCAGAATTCCTTTTATGACTCATTCTACTTTACTTCACTTTACAATATAGGACATCTATTGTTGTATTTGACCCATCCCGGAATGCCCCTAATCCATTTCTGGGTCAGGGGGGTGGCAGTCAGTCAGAGCAGCACCAGCCCGTGAGTCCACAGGAGTCGTGATCTTTCAGCGGGGGATTCAAGCTAAGTGGAGTTAAGTGTCTTGCCCAAGGACAAAACAACAGCAAACATCAGTGAGAGTCGTGAAGTAGGTCTCGTGGTGGGCTCGAACCCATGACCTACAGGTCCAAAAGGAAATGACCACTATGGCCACTATGACACAAAGACCACCATGTAGATGTCGAGGCTCGGTTTGGTTATGACTACCGTAGTTGGGGGATTTTACCGATGCGTAGGGGGCACCGGAGCACCTGGAGGAAACCTACACAGTCGCTGGGAAAACATGAAAACGAGTCTTGCGGGGAGTCAGTTTCATTGTTTTACTCTCTGCAAATCCATTAAAATGACAAGTACTCCTGTTGCTACTAATTCTACTCCTGCTGCTACCTCTACTACTACTACTACTACTGCTGCTGCAACTAATACTACTACTGCTACTAATACTACTTCTGCCGCTGCCTCTACTACTACTACAACTACTGCTACTCTTTCTGCAACTGCTGCTCCTACTGCTACTAGTACTACTGCTGCTACTACTACTACTGCTACTACCATTACTGCTGCTGCTACTACTACTCCTACTGTTGCTTCGACAACTATTGCCCACTGTTTTACTTAATTGAATCTGATTAATGCTTTTGTAATTATTAAAATTCAAAATGTTTGATGTAATTTGCTCTGAGAGATTTTCTTTACTGAATGTGTGAGATGTGAATGATACGGTCTCATTGAGCTGTTATTTTTGTTCAAAAGAAACAACATTTGCTGATCACTGACTTGAGAGGCCGAGCACAGAACGATACTGAACAGATTTCTTTTACAACATTGTTTTAGCTCCTTTATATTTCTTCAGATGTACTCAATATAGAAAAATGAGATAGTTTATCGCTTCATAACAGACAGAAGCAAGTTTTATCTGTCTTTAAAACATGACTGAGGCGAACGATCGGGGTTAAAACGTTTGGGGCACTTTTAGGTTACTACTGGCCGAGTTTCAAAGCTGCAGGTTTAATAACGCCATGCCGCTCCAAGAAGCTGTATCATTCCCAGTCATACTTGGCCAATTTGTTTGTGCTTCCTGAGTCACATTTGAAACCCTGCCACGCGCCTACTCACGGTGGCAAATTTAGCCGTAAAGACAAGGCAGGTGCCAGCAGAAGGCGCATGTTACCTATGCCAGAGCTGCAGGGGCTGGCAGCAGTGGCACTTACACTTCAGGCTGTCACATGGAAGAATAACACAAGTCCTGGAGCTTTTAGAGAGAAAAGACAGACCCTCACTGCTCCGTCAAGGCCCAAAATGCACCAATTATAACTCCGAAGTGGACATTCTCTTGGTAACGGCTCACGTGACTTGATGAAATGGTAATAATAAAGGCGTTTGAATGGTTCGGTTACAAGTTGTCGGATCAGTCTTTCCGTTGTCACTGTATTAGAAAAGTGGTTCTCCAGAACTTTTTTCATCAAGAACCAGCAAAGAATTTTTTCACCTCCCAAGTATCACCCAATTTAAATAAGGCAAGAGAAGGCAAGTGTATCTGTATAGAAGAGAACAGACATGAGGAAACGCAAAGTCCTTAACACAACAAGATAAGAAACATCATACACGGCATTAGCAGCATAAATAATCACAGTACATTAAAAGAGTGAAGATACAATCCCTCAGTTGAATGCACAGCTAAACACAACTGTATTAACCTGGATTTCAACGCTGTCAGAGAAGAAGACTGTCTCACATTTTCAAGAAGGCTGTTCCATAATTTAGCAGCATCAACTCTCTCCCTAAAACCTTCAAACAAGGTCAGAAATCTAGGGGTAATACTGGACTCAGACTTAAATTTTAATAGCCACATCAAATCAGTAACATAGTGTCTAAAGCAGACCTGGAGATTCTTATCCATGCATTTGTCTCCAGTAGGTTAGACTACTGCAATGGCCTGCTCACAGGTCTGTCCAAACAGGCTGTAAAACAGCTGCAGTACATTCAAAATGCAGCAGCTCGAGTCCTGACTAGAACCAAGAAGTACGACCACATTAGTCCTGACTAGAACCAGGAAGTACGACCGCATTAGTCCAGTCCTCAGGTCCCTGCACTGGCTTCCTGTGGCTCAGAGAATAGACTTTAAAACAGCTCTGCTTGTTACAAGTCTCTCCATGGCCTCGCACCAAAATAAATTAGTGACATGTTAGTCCCACATGAACCAGCCCGGACTCTGAGGAGCACAGGGACTGGACTCCTGTTAGTGCCCAGAGTCAGAACTAAACAGATTCATGCTGCTAAAATCTGGAACAATCTTCCTGAAGACGTGAGACAGGCCTCCTCTCTGACAATGTTTAAAACCAAGTTAAAAACGGTGCTGTTTAGCTGTGCATACAACTGAGGGATTTTATATTTTTATCTTTCGTTTTAATGTTCTGTGATTATTTATGATTTTAATGCTATCTTGTTCAGCACTTTGAGTTGCCTTGTGTATGAATTGTGCTATACAAATAAACTTGCCTTGCCTTGCCTTGCCTTGCCTCAATATGAAGCAGTTTAGTTCTGACTCTGGGTAACAGCAGGAGGCCAGTCCCTGTGCTCCTCAGAGTCCCAGCAGGAGGCCAGTCCCTGTGCTCCTCAGAGTCCCAGCAGGAGGCCAGTCCCTGTGCTCCTCAGAGTCAGTGTAAAATTCACCTTTTGCTAGTGAAACTTAATGTTCACTAATGCTGTAATGAGTAAGTGGACCTGTAGCCTGTTTGAAGACAAATATGTGGAATAAATCTAAATCCAGGCTTTATCAAAGTGTTGGATGCTTTGTTCCATCAGAAGAAGTCCAGATTCAACCAGTGTTGCAGAAACACACATAGACTGTTTGACAATATGGCATTATACATTCTCACGCATGTCTATTCTATTGATACTTTCTAGAAGAGTTTTGTTGAGTTAATACATAATACTATCATTTTAAAGTTACTGAACCAGCTTCACCATTCGCACCATTCTCTCGGAGGCGCCAATGAAGATGCTTTTCTGCAGTAAGACTCTCCACGTTTTGTGAGAGAGTTTTGTCCAATTTTCGTATGACAAGCACTTGCGTCCTCTGTTAGTGCTATCATGCTAATACAAGTATACGCAACAGGTTCTCCATAACTTCAATCAAATAAATTGGTTAACCATGAAAGCTCCCCTCCCTCCCACACATTGTCCTCGTGTATGTCCCTGGTGCAAAGCGCTGACACATGGCTGGTATATGTTAAATGTTGTGTGGTTAGCGCTGGCGGCTGTAATTAACATGAGTATCTTGGTCAGCAGAAACACAGGAGCCAAAGTTAGAGGCCAGTGCTGTAGATGTGAAACTAATGTGTCTTGTTCTGCTCCACTTGAATCAATAGAAACACACGGTTAGCCCCGGCGGCCATGTTGGATCCCTAATGGCCCGTCGGACACGCGCTCTGGGATCTCACGTGGGTTTGTCTCAATGACGGCGCGCGGCGGAGGACGAATCAATAACGGGCAGCGAGCGTTGAGGCCGGTGTGAGCGCTCAGAGCCTGTCCTGCACCGTGCACGCTCAGCCACTTTCTGAGCTCCATGAAACGTGTCACTGAGTCTATTAAGAGAGACTTGAAAGCTTGAATCGAGCCATTACAATAAGCGCTACAAGGAAACATACAGTCCAAATTCAAGGAGCGGTAGAAGAAACAACACGAAAAATATAATTAAAGCTAAGTTCATTATAATTTAGGACATCAAGGGCCAGGTGGTTAATAAAAAGCATTCTTTTGAATATTGAATGAAATAGACATATAATGTATACAGTATGTCATATATATGTCACATATACACTCTGGTGTTTTCATACTGCAGACCCAAGTGTTTCACTCAAGTTGAAATGCCAAGACATCAGTAGGAAAGTTTGTCATGTTGAACCATGTCATGTGGTTCAGTGGAGTAAGGCTAACAACCTCCAGCTGAACGCATCCAAAACATGTGAACTGGTCTTTGATTTCAGTCGCAATAGTTCTCATTTGCCTGTCGCAATCGATAACTCCCAAGTGCAGATTGTAGAGGAGTGTAAGTTTCTGGGTCTAACTCTGTCTAATGACCTGAAATGGGTTAAAAACACTGACCGGGTCGTAAAGAAAGCCCGTCAGCGTCTCTACTGTACTTCCTGCGGAAACTTAGAGAATTTACCACTAACTCTAAGATTCTGCTGAACTTTTATCGCTGCACCATTGAGAGTTTACTTGTTGGTTCTGTGTCTGTGTGGTTTGGAAACATCACAGATAAAGAAAAGAGAGCTTTAAACAAGGTGCTCCGCTCTGCAAAGAGGACTGTGGGCTGTGAACTTCCTGTCCTGGAGGCTCTTTATCAATCCAGACTTTTTAACAGTGCCCTGAGAATTATCAATGACTCTTCTGGCCACCCAGGAAAAGCCTTGTTCCAGCTTCTTCCCTCTGGCAGAAGATACTGTTCCCTGAGATGCAGGACATCTCGTTATGCAAATAGTTTTTTTCCACGAGCTGTTAACAGTCTGAATAGAGCACTTTAATGTTTTTTTTTTGTTTTTGTTTTTTTGCACTCGTACAGATCTGTTTTAAGTTGGTCAACTTCACGGTGACATTTGTTTACTGTTTTTTAAAATATGTTTTATTTTTGTCTTTTAATGTTGTTTTGTGTCTGTACTTGTCCTGTGCACACTGGGAACTCATACAAATGTATTCCAATGTAGTAGTGTTACTGCAAATGGCATAATAAATGAATCTGAATCTGAATGAATCTGAATCTGAATCTGAATCTGTTGTTGGGACCCGTGTCGGCATTTCACAGGAGAGACTGGATCGTGCACTGCACTTTCTCAGTGCAGTGCAGCCAGTCTATTACAACGGACAACAGTAAGTTTGTTCATCATCCATGTAATGACGTTCAAAAATGTTTTACAAGACCAACTTTTTAAAGGAAAGAAAGGCGTGTGCAAAGGCCCAAATGATCACATGGTCCATGGGGGGGACCATGTGATCATATGGCCAAACTCAATAAGTGTGTGTATAAAGACAGGGCATGTTACGCTAGTCCTCAAGTTTTTCTTAGTATCAGGATTAGGGTGTGGCTTACCACACCCATAGGTTATAAATCTCCAACGCGCGGTCCGAGAATTCGATTCCCTGAAGAAGTCCCCAGGTTGAGGACGAAACGTCGGGAAAACTTGCTAAGAAGTACAGATGATGGGTGAGAAACCTTCCTTTGCTTCTACTGTGGAGGTGATGGCATTTTTGATGCCTTGGACTTTGTCATTAAAAAACTCTGCAAACTCATTACATTTGGTTTTGGAGGTAAGCTCTGATGGCATCTTAACAGGGGGATTTGTCAAATTATTTACTGTTGAGAACAGAACGCGTAGATTGTTACTGCAACTTTCGATTGTTTCGGAAAAATAAGTTTCCCTCGTTCTACGTAGCACACTGTTGAACTTGCACAATGCACAATTATGGTGAATGAAGAACATGGCTAGGCAAGGAAAAGCAAGTTTATGTGTATGGCACAATTCATACACAAGGCAACACAAAAGGCTGAACAAAATAAGATCAGAAATAATCACAGTGCTTTGTTTGACTGGTTTTTCAGAGAAGAGGCCTGTCTCACATTTTCAGGAAGATTGTTCTACATTTTATGTTTAGTTCTGACTCTGGGCACTAGCAGGAGTCCCTGTGCTCCTCAGAGTCTGGGTCGGTTCATATTGGACTAACATGTCACTAATGTACTTTGGTGCGAGGCCATGGAGAGGCCTGTAACAAGCAGAGCAAAGGAAGGTTTCTCACCCATCATCTGTACTTCTTAGCAAGTTTTTGGGAAAACTTGCTAAGAAGTACAGATGATGGGTGAGAAACCTTCCTTTGCTTTGACTAATCCCTGTACGACTGAGGGCTTACACAAACTGTAACAAGCAGAGGTGTTTTAAAGTCTACCTAGTTCTAGTCAGGACTCGAGCTGCTGGATTTCATAGTAGATAATAGTGTATAGGCGTTACACATTTCTCCAGTGTGAGATCAATAAAGTCTATCTTATTTTTTTCCAACAATGTTTCGTCACCAGTCACACACCTGGATATTTTATTGTAGAGCCATCCACCTAACATCAGCTACGTCTGGCACAAACATGTAGCTCCGCCCCCTCACTGTAAAAGTCCCTGTCTCAGTCCTGGATGATGTCATTGCACCACTATGACATCACACCCAGGGCAGTTATCTGTCTTTTTAGTACCGTTACATTTCTCATGTTGAATTCAGTTTTTTACAATCGCAAGTCTGTGTTTGCTTCCCGCATATTCAAAATTAGGAATAAAAACAATACAAATTCTACTCCTCCCTCTGGTGGTAGCATAGGGAGTTACAGGCAGAAAGCATGTTTTAGCTTTCATTCTTGTTATAGCATGTATTTTCTGCTATTGTCACATTCTAAAACATGAAATAACAAAGTAAATAGTCTCATTATACAGAATATTTCTTATCTAAATGCCTGACATTGATAGAGTTCTGTTGACCAGTTTGTACTTCCGGTGGTTTTGTCCACTCCTATAGTTTGTGAAGTGCTGGGTCAGCTGACACACTGACCTGGCCTGTCACATGGCCACTCCACTACTTCCTCCACTGTTATTATGTTATTGTGCTGACATGGCAGAGCCCCCGCCTCATGTGGAAGAATGAAATTGGATGAAGCGGCTTAACTGTGTGTCCCCTCGCTTGCCGTCCGCCCGGTGCCCACTGGAGATAAGGCTAATGAAGGGGACTTAAGCGGAGAATAGACTTGTCTTATTACAGCGTGCACAGAGGAGGAGCGCGAACAGCTAACAGCTCTCATGCTCTTAATGAGAACGAGTGTTTTACAAGTGCTGTGTCTCCAGAGGGCCGTGTGGGAGGTCTACAAGGATCTGACTCCACTAACTACTTTCCAAACCATGTTGCTTTCACCCAGGCCTGCCCCAGGACTCCCTCCGTCGGCTCGTGTCTTCACCTTCATGTTGCTGGACGCGCCGCTCGGACTCTCAATCATGTTAATCGCTGCTGCCCATTGTTCAGACGACTCTTTCTGGTCATTAATATGAATTTATGCTTTGGAGGACAATGCAATCAGCTCTAATGACATGATTTAGGAAGGCTGACAGCATGTGCTACACGTGGTGTCGAAAATATTAAAAGTTGTGGAAGGGACTTGAACTCATTGTTGTTGAGGTGTAAGACAAGGCTTGGAAGTCTAATGTACAACAAAGTCACATATTTCACAGTATTTTGTGCATGCCAATAAGAGTTCACGTTTAACGCATAAGTATTTGTGTTTTTGCACTAAAAAAACACACTTGTGGTTCATACTGACCTGTGGAGGGGGTTCCTCTAATTTCAAGAGTTTTCCTTAAAATGTAACAATATTCTTGGATCATGTATCAGAGTTACGGTTGACCTGTTTCTGGAATCATGCAAAATCATTTCTCGACAGATTCACGGTGTTGCTTTAAAGCTGGGGTACCTAACTTGCATATCACTTACAATGGTAATGTAATTAATCTAACTTTTTAATTACTCCGGCATTTGTTTTCACATGCTTGTATTTTGGCCTCTGTCCCATCTTTAGATCATCAGATTCTGATAATTTAAACGCATCCATGATCCACTGCATTAACCACAATTATACTGAAGGATCCATCCATTTAGAAAACATATGACAAAGACAACAGTACTGTATAATTAGGAAACCTACCTTTTCATAAACCATTAAACCAATGTCAGAAGCTATTTGACTTTTTGGATAGAAATTCTGTGTACGAAATTGCTTGGTAATCCGCCCCTGACGCTCGAGTGCATCTGTCACGTAAAATAAATGCTCTCTTTTTTTCCACATTTACAATTCACAAATGTCAAGCGGAGACGTTGGCCCCGGGCGTTTTCACATGATCAAATATGGGCTTTTGTTACAGGGATTACTCCATTATGTGATGAAGCACATTGCATTATCTGCCCGAACCATCAGGAAAATGACTCTGAGCATTTAGTCATTAGCGAGAGGTCGAGAGCCGTTTCATGACTTCTAAATGGTAAATAAGCAGTCATTCACCGGACATCGATGTTACTTAATGGGGGATTAGTCCAGTGATAATGGCCAGTGCAAACATAGGCTAGCAGGATTTATTATTATTATTCTGTTTAAGCGTTAAATAACACTTTTCTCCTTCTCTCTCCACAGTAAATCCGCTCATGCATCGATCGCAACATCCTTTAGGGCCTCCCTCCAGCAGAGACCAGCAGGCTTATCTGGCAAATCCATTAAAAGGTATGTTCCTCTTAAAAAAAAAAAAAAAAAAAACGTATTGCATCAACTCTACTCGGCTTTGCGTTTATGGGCAATGCTCTCCGTTACAACTGTTATTAGTAAATTGAAGAGCAGGCTTTTGTAAAGTTGATGACACAGTTATATAAGCAAAACTATTTTTATATTGAAACTGTTCTCTATGTGATATTTGTAGCATTGAGTGCGTTTACAAAGCACTTGTGAAAACGGAATTCTCCACGTCGTCCGATTCATTCCGATTGATAAAGACACTTGTAAACCTGTGCCAATTGAGGTGGAAAAATCCGGTCCATTCTGAGGAGCTGGAGCCAGATTCTACTGCGGTTGAGTTGCATGTGTACTTGTCTGTCGGATATTTATGAGACATTGGGCTGTGATGTGTTTAATGCCTAGCGTACATCGGACTGGCAACTGATTATATCCGTCGCATATGAGTTGCTACCCCGCACACATCGACAATCTGGCGAAAACGGACAACTCCTGTACCAGGCCAGTCTCAGGAATAACAGCGCGTACATCGACAGCAACTGGCCTCAACTACAGTGTGTTTTCTGACATAAACTGTAGAGGGCGCAATACACGCAATACACACATGTTGTTGGAGCGCGCACATCGGGTGATATCTCCGGATCTGAGTACAACTAGTTGCTGAAAAGAAGAACACGGGCAACTGACCTGAATCCGGAGATTAACTGTTTATCTCCAGTTGTAAGGGCGCTCACATCGACCGATTTCAGCAACTGATCATCTCCATCATCTCCTCTCAGTTGGCAAAAGCCGCCTTGCAACTAGTTGTCTCCAGTTACTCTGTTGATGTGCGCTAGGCTTAAGAGAACAGAGAAAAGCCAAACTTGTATTATAAATGTGTGTGTTTGGACGGTTATTTTTGACATTTTGTTCGGGATCACAGCACAGGCCCTCTCCGCACTTGTGTTGTTGTTTGGTTTTACGCAAAGCCAAAGCGAAACTTTACAGGAATCACGGTGCTTTCAAAAGCGGTGCGGAAACTCGATGATTTTGGCTGCAGCGGCTGAGAGTCTGTGAAAATCAAACCCCCAAAGTAAACATAATTTTGTGCGATTATATTTGCCAAATGTGTGCTTACGTTGTATGATATGATAGCAGTTTTCTTTACTTTTACAGATACAACGTTTGAGTAACGTGAGAAATTCACGAGACGTTTTTCTGACTGTATTTTTATGCATCGTAAAAAACACATGTTCATATCGTCGTTTGGTTTACAGTTGCTTGTTGAAGTTCCCAAGTCAAGCTCCTGTGCTTCATACGTCACGGTTCAACACGTCACTTTAGCCTCAGCTGTAAACGACACAATCTAATTTCAAAATGCTAATTATTTTCGTAACCTGTTAATGATGTAATGGGGGAACATAACTTGACATTTACCAGAGTGCAAGGCATTTAGTCATCCATTTTTGCTTTTGTGTTCTTTTGGCACTTGGATGTTTAGTAAGAAAAAATAATGATCATGTTTTTTTTGTTGGATTTGTGTTGTGTAATTTAATATCACTATATTATTTGTGAAATTTAGGCCAAAGATTATCATTGTTGTGCTAATAGGCTTTGGGTTAAGCCTTTGTCATTGTCTGCAGTTTTCTCTCTTTTAGCAAAATAAGGGATTTTTTTGGTACCATTGTTCTGGATTATTTTGGGGGAGGCAATTTCCATTTTGTTCATATTTTTGTTATCGTATCTTATATTGGTTATTTGCGCAACAGAAACATGAAGGCATAGGCTTTGAACCATCAATCCATCTATCCATCCATTTCTTCCCCTTAATCCATTTCTGGGTCGGGGGGTTGCAGTCAGAGCTTCACCCAGTCCACAGAGCACCAGCCCCTCACTGATCCTCCTGCAGGTGGTGAGTCCACAGGAGCTGAGATCATTCAGCGGGGGCTTCAGGCAAAGTGGGGTTAAGTGTCTTGCCCAGGGACACAATGAAAGCAGTCATCAGTGGGAGTCTTGAAGTAGGTCTTGTGGTGGGCTCGAACCCGCAACCTTCAGGCTCAAAGGCCAATGATCTGCCAACTGTGCCACTGCCGCCCAGGCTTTGAACCTGCCATAGCTTTCCAAACAAGACAACAGATACACTATCAACAAAGTTTATACGATCCATTCTAACATAATTTCATCTCATAAAAAATTCATCAATACTTTTCATCCTATTCAAACAGCTCCCATTACCAATGTATTAGGTGTGTTGTGATAGTTTGCACACACTGCTGCTGATCTGTCCATTAAAATGCATTGTGGGGTGTGCCTGTCTGCTCTCACAGCCCAACGCTGTTTAAACTATAGACCACATTTCGTTACCTTTGAGCCGATTTGGCCGATAGGTGCAGTCCCCTTATCCGCACGTTTTAAACACTCACAAAGCGAAATATTTCCTCCCCAGCGACTGCCAATGTTACTTTTTCATTTGTACAGCTTGAAGTGGTGGTCCGTAATAGATGTGTTTGAGTCCCAATCGCGGCGTTCGCTCATCCGTTGGCTTTGATAGCTCGCCCTCTGTTTGGCTTTGTCCAGATAGCCACTGAACATACATGGCCTTCGATTCAGTCCAATTGTTTGTACACACTGCAGTGCTTTTTGGCTTTGGCTTGCTTCAATGGGCTCTGGTGTGATAGAAAATGTCCTCCCCCCCCTCCTCTCGACTGCCCCCAATGCGGAGGCTATGGGGCCTGGGCTGCTGCTGCTGCTGGACGGTGAAGGGTGTTCGAGGCTGCAGGCTATGGATGTTGCGGTGCGTAAAGGACAAAGAGAAGGATGTCTCCGGGTTGAAAGAGATGCTGAAATGCTGATGAGCCAATTTCAACGGTGAGAGCGAGATAGTGTGCTGTGTGTGGAATGGTAGCTTACCTGGTGACTGCAGAGGTGAGGGGTAGTGGTTTGGGATTTATGCCCTTCGTTTAAAACACTATCTGGTTTTACCTTCACCTTGTTTCTGCCAACTTGAGCAGAGCATGAAAACGCAATTTTCGCAAAATCCGCAATCATATTAGTTTTTTGTAACAATATAAGGCACTTAGATAATTAGAATTTGGAGACATTTTTCTTGATTCACGCATGAATGAGGATTTGTGTTTCTTATTCAGAATCAGAAGTATCAGAACCATTGTAAGTAACAAGAAGACACAAACCCGGAATTTAGTGTGGTATATTGTACAAACAAGTTAAAAAGTAAATGTATAACATGTATATAAAGTAAAATATGCTGAATGTGCTTTATGTCAATCATTATGCATCAGATCGAATTCAATGTTGTTCCCATATCAGTGGATGTTCACTTCATAACAGTTATTTTAGTTATTTTTTATTTTATTTTTTAAATTATCCAGTTTGCTTGTGATTTATGCCAAGCACTTTGTATTAGAATGAACTCTGGTTTTTGAGGAACAAATTGTCATGTGAGAAATCCCCCCTTTTCCCAGTAACTCCTGTAATACTCTGAAGTCTAAAGCAGTTTGTCTTAAAAGGCTCTACATGTTCCTGATCTTCTTTATTATTGACTTTGATAAATCCAGTTATGAATAATAATAACTGAATAACCATGTTCTAGGTAGTATGAAGGGACAAGAGAAGATCATCTTGAAAGCCTCGTACCAGCATTTTTGGTTTAATCGTTCCTGATACAGAGACAGAGGCTACAGAGACTTGGACACTCTGAGTTCATATTGCACTTGGGCAGACAT